GGGACCGGGCCGTACCGTACCGTACCGAGCCGTACCGAGCCGTGAGGGGCGCGGGGCCGGGCGGGTGCGCGCCCTTCGCTCTCCTGTGAAGCGGGAGGAGGGGGAGAGGGGCTGCTGCGGAAGGGCCCAGCCGGGACGTGTTAGCAGGTGGGAACGGGGGCAGGCCTCCGAGGTGAGTGAGCTCCCGGGCCCCGGGGCCGTCTTCTCCCTCTCCCCCGCTCTCCTCGGCTCTGCCCTGGGCGGGGGGGGGAGGCAGGGAGCGAGCGTGGCCCCCTCGCTGCTCTGTAGGGGAGCCCTGAGGAGAAAGGGGGTCACCCACTACTAGCAGAGCGCTGGGGAGAGAGCGCGGGAGTCTCCTCGACACCCTCCGGCTTTCCCCGTGCTCTGCTTGTCGTTTCATGATCCCAGGTTGAACGTTTTGGAAGCCGCCGCGTCGCTTGGCTGTCTGGCAGAGGGAGGGATGCTGCCCGTGTTCGCCGTCTCGAGTTACAGGCTGGCGGCTGGAGCGGGGGAACCCCTGAAGTGGGAACCGCAGGCACAGGGCGGCGTGACAGGGAAGGGCCAGGGCAGGGCGGGACAGAGCTGGGGTCACTGCTCCAGGGTTTTCCCTCAGTAGGTCTTGGAGCGTCATGCATGATCGTATTTATCCCCGTTTCCTAGAAGCCAAGGAAAGGTGGTTACTTCTTCAAGGTCGTACGGTAAAGCTAGTGCTAAACCAGGTCTCTCCGGTCCAAATTGTTTTTTAAGTCATACCCTATAAAGCAAACAAGTGGAGATTGTTTGATAGGAGATAGGTGTTGGAGACGTGCCAGCACTATAATTACCCTGTGACAAGGTGTTAGGATTAGGGCTGTGGGAGGGTTCGCTGATGCCAGAAAGGCCATGCAGCCGTGGAGGAGAGAAGTGGAGGTGGGCCAGGCGTGTAATGACAGGGGCCAACAATATATGACAGAAACGAGCAACGATAGAGGTAAGGCAGTGCAGTGTATGAGAGAAAGCATGATTGGTGTGTTATTAGTTACAGCACAATAAAATTTCAGGGCTGTCTTCATTATTTTTCCCTTTTCTGATTGTACTGTGATTTGAGTGTGTGTGTGGAGGGGGATTCATTACAGTCTAGTTTCTTCTGCTTTTATCCAATGAGAAAAAGCAAAACCAGGCTGCAATATTTGTGCTTCAAGCAAAGAAATGAAATCTGAGGTGAGAGACAAGTCTGATTTTTCTGAAGGCAAAAAAAGCAAGACCAATAGGTAAAAGCTTTAGGACCATATGTCTATAGTTTTCAGTTCTGACAGGAGAAAACCAAAGAAATATCTGGCACACCATTTGATGGTTTTCATCAGCTTGTTTATGAGATTATACTATTGTCATATATTCCTAATTTACTCATTTTTTAAATAAATGGAAATTAAGTATGGCTGTTGCTTATAGCACACAAGGTGCCATAAGTAATCAAAAGGGGGAAGGAAAGGGGTATAAAAATATTGGGGAAATCAATAAATTTAAGTCCATCAGGAGTTAGATTTGAGGGAAAGACTTGCAAAAGTAGAAATAATTGAGAACATTTTGGAATTGCAAAGGCGTAAAAAGTGGGAACAAAGGGTACTACAGGTGTTGGAATGAAAAGAATGTTTATGAGAGCATCCTTTCTATTTTTGTATGAGTGTTTAATGGAGAAAGGTGTCTGAAAGTAAAATTGAAGAAGACCCTTTACCATCTATATGACTAAGAGAATCAAGTAAAGATAAACTGACCAGTGGATATCTTTTTCTGATTTTTCTCTCTAAGTATTTATAATTTTTAGATATTGCTAATGGGATTCAAAGAAATTTCATACTGTATTGTCTCTAAAGTACCTCAAGTCCTTCTGTGACCAGTAAAATGAACTAATACTCTTAAGTATCTATGTCCTTGAAGTGTAGGACACCGCCGTATTATGGTATCCTGAACCCTTCTCCATCCCCTGGAGAAATCCCGTTTTGACAGTCCCTCAGGGGAAGCCATGGTACGTGCCAGCTGCCTTTCTAATACTTTTTGGTGCTGCCAAGTGGCTTATATAACAACAGTTCTACCTACTTTTCATCGAGGGCATTAATTTGAGCCTTCCTTTTCTGCATGAGTGCCTGATTGCAGAGAAGTTAGATGGGTTATCTCTCAGACTTTTTTTTTACTCCTATTTCAAATTGCCCTGATAACTTTTGAACTTATTAGGTAGACTTATAGACTAAGTTAAAAATATAGAAAGTGGTTGCATTCTGAAGTGAGGATACAATTATTGTATGGCTATTTTATGAGGTATTTGGTGCGTACCAGAAAGTGTTCATCTTGAAACTGTGAAAAGCAACAGGTGGATGAAGAGAGTTCAGTATGAAATGCTCGGCAGCAGACAGGAGGACGTGTAAGCTCATGCACCGTTTCTGCAAACCGCTGCTTGCCACACAACCAAAGGAGGCAGTGAGCTTTAGCAGCCATGTTAGGTAAGGGCAGCAAGATGTCACTTAGGTGGCCATCCTTTTTCTGGGCAGGAAGTCCATAAAAATTTTATGATAGCCATCATAGCTGAGGGCAGAAACAGCCTGCTCTACAGCCATCTTGGATAAGGGAAATGGAGGGAGGTGATTGTCACATATCTCCCCTAAAGAGCTGATGTCTGTTTCAGGATGATGAAATGCAGCAGAGGTAGTTTATGTGCATACCTGCCAAATATCTGGATTTTGTCTTGAGTGTGTCAAAGTGCAGGAGAGATTCTTTGGTCTTGATGACTTGATGAAAACTAAGATCTTTTGCTGAAGGAAGCCTGTAGTGAATTTTAAGTTAACTGTAACTCACTAGAGAAGACAAACAGTGAGCATCATTATAAGCAACTCAGTGCCAGATTTCTGAGTATTGTGCAATGATGATCTAAAAGGCTACCAAAATATTAATGTACATCAGATTAAGATTGTCAGTGGAGAAGTGTTGTGAACCAGTTGCTTAGTGGGAGATCCTGATTCAAGAGAGATTGGTACATTTGGAATGAATGAGGCATGTTGTATAGCAGAGGTTCAGTTTGTAGTATAAAAATTAACATGCCAACTGATGATGAAAGCAGAACAGATAAGGAGAAAGTTGGAGATGCAGAGTTTCCTACAGAGTTCTCATCCCTGAAACTCATTCATCAGCAATTTACAAAATCAGTTTCTCATTGATTTTTAGTAATACACCAAATTATATGCACTCTTTTAAGCCATACTAACTTTTAAAATACGACATTCTGTAGAGCCATTTACTGCTACACAGAGCAATGTGGACATGTATAGCAAAGTTTGAACTGTTATTTACATCCTAATGTATCTTTTGCAAAATAAACGCCTCAGAAGTAGCTTCTGAGACATTCAGAATCAAGCTCAACTGTCAAAAAGTAAGGAACTGTTTCAAAGCAATAGGTTCATTTTCCGGGCTCTAGAGATGTGTCAGTTTGAATGTTAACACTACAGAAAGGTAGTTCACAGCAATCGCTTCGTGTCCACTAGAGGACTGGGGGGAGGACTCGCTGCACGGCGTGTCAGGGTGACTACCTCAGACCAGTATTTGCTGATCTATAGTTGCTTTTGAGATGCAGTGACTGCAAATGTAATCACTTTTTTCTTAAGTAGGGAAAGTGGTCCCACAAAGTAAGTTAAATAAGGGGTGGCAAGATTATTGTGACATTATGGTGATTCTACTGCTGGACAGTCACAGGAGTAAATGGTAAATGGTGTAGCTGCACTGTATGCCAAGACAGCAACAATCCCATTTGAATTTTTGTATGCCTGTTCGTTTTAGCAGCTGCTGAATACATAAACATTCTACAAATGTGTTCTCTAGCAGTGTGTTTCTGTCCATGCTGGTGTATCATGAGAAGTAAATGGAGCAAGATCATGGCCTCAGAATGATGATCACAACTAGAAAACAACAGGTATTTGCTAATAGGTTATTTCCTGGTTTCACAATCACATTGAAAAAGAGCCAAATTATCCTAGATTAATAAAGATCACAACACAGAACCTGGAAGCACATCTAAGAGCTGATTTCCACTTCAGTTTTATCTATGAACTTTGGTACCCAGTGTCTGAATCACTGTATGTAAACCACTTTGTAAAAGATTCTGCACAGATACAGACGCTGATATGTGTGTGTCTGACCACTGAGTCCCTCTGCTTCTGCTGGCAGTGATCGCACCATTTTTATAAGCTCACCAAGCTCCTCCTTAAAACTTACTAGGACTTTACTCCCTACTCTTCTTGTTGGAAAATTTTGTTCAAAACCTTATTTCACCAGTGATTAGAAAATTTTTTCTAATTACCGGCCTGGATTTATTGAAGGGTGGTTATATTTTTTTTCTATTGTGGCTTTATCATTGTTCTTTAGTTTCAGATTTATTTTCTGTTCCTGATCTTTTCAGTCTCTGATTATATAAAGAACAATTGCATTATCTTTCAGCATTAATTTTGAAAGAAGGAACTCAGCTAGTTTAATCATATCTTGTGAGGTAGGTTTTCCATTGATGTTGTTTTTGTTCAGACCCTTCCCTGCTCTTTTGTCTAGTTTGCATTAAGCTTATTAAAAGATACCCATAACCAGTACACAAATTAGTATCCTACTAACATAGCAGACAATTATATTCATGTAATAGAAATAGTAAGCATATACTGAACATACTATTTTAAGTTACATTATATATTCAACATATGCATGTTATCTTTATACTTTTATATAAAAATACATTATTTATAAATATACTCTATCCTATCTATTTTATATATTCAATATGCTTTGTATAGTATGTTGATAATATATGTATATGATATATAAAAATAAGTATAATGTAACCTGCATACCATTAATACAGTTGTCGTGGTTTAACCCCAGCTGGCAGCTAAGCACCACACAGCCACTCACTCACTTCTCCCCTGCTACCCTCCCTGTCCCCAGTGAGATGGGTAAGAGGGTTGAAAACAAGTAAAACTCATGGGTTGAGATAAGAACAGTTTAATAATTGAAATTAAAATGTAATAATGAAAAGGGAGATAACAAAAAGAGAGTGAAATAAAACCAAAGAAGCACAAGTAATGCACAATGCACTTGCTTACCACCTGCTGACTGATACTCAGCTGGTCCCTGAGCATCAGTCTGCCCCTCCCAGCCAACTCCTTCCCCCCCCTCTGTTTAGATACTGAGCACGACATCATATGGTATGAAATATTCCCTTGGCCAGTTTGGGTCAGGTGTCCTGGCTGTGTCTCCTCCAATCTTCTTGTGCCCTTCCAGTGTTCTTGCCAGCAGGGCAGCATGAGAAGCTGAAAAATCCTTGACTCAGTATAAACACAACTTAGCAACAGCTTGAAACATCAGTGTGTCATCAACGTTGTTCTCATACTAAATCCAAAACACAACACTATACAGCTACTAGGAAGAAAGTTATTGCAGCTGAAACCTGGACAACAGTATTATGCTAATTTTACGTAGAATGTTTCTTCATTTCTAATTAAATTAGCTAAGTTGGCGTATCTGGCATTTTCACTGCTTTATGATTTGAGTAGAACGTAGTCAGCATGTAACCAGCTCTTAGTTTCTGTTAATATGAGGTTGATGTTTTGAAATGTTTGATGTTTTCAGTGGCTGTTTGAAAAATAATGAAAAGTGGTTTAAAAAGAAGTATGACATTTCTGGGGTTTGTTTGTTTTAAATGAATGTATATATTAGACCAGATCTAATTTTCAAATGTAAATAACGTATTGCTCTAAACTGAAATCTCAATGTGGGGGGTAAAGGGGGGAAGTGAGATGAGCAGATGTTTATCCAGTTCTTTGGTGTTACTCAGTGAAGAGGAGCAGTCTGCACAGTCACTACTGAAGCTGATGGAAATTGGCCAGCCAGCAGCCAACACAACATTTGCTGCTACCTGATAGAAAGCATCCCGCTGAGAGAGGTGGGATGGAGTGGTAGAGACAGCAGCTGTAGGAGTAAGATAGAGGGAGGAAGAAAGCAAGGTAGGCTCAAATGCTTAATGGTTCTGGCTCTTTAGAAGCCAGCTGTCCTGCACAGCCTTTACTCATTTTTATTCCAGCAACTGACATCACAGGGGGTGCTTTTTCTAGAAGATATCTTGTCCAAACCCTGCCAAATATTTATATGACCAGGTTGCTGTCTTTCTGCAAAATGACAAAGTTCATAGAGCTTTGTAAGGGCAAATTCCATATGCAGAGCCCTACTGTTTCATGAGACTGTATTTCAGATTGTAGCAGAGCATTCCCAGTTAATAGATTCACAACTTTGAAGTCTGTATTTTGTCCTGCACTGATAGGCTTCTTGAAAGAGAAAGCAGTTGGTCTCAGTTGTGCAAAATGTTACAATAATTAAAATGTATGCAGAAATATTAGTTTTTTCAAACAGTTGACATCCTTTCTCAACTGAGGAAGGTCATTACATTTTACCAAAACTAAAATGTATTTGAAATGGTCAGGTGAAAATCTTACTGAACTAATGTTTCCCTAGTAATTAGGAATATCTCTGGTAGATGTGTATCTTCTTTTTTTTTTTTTTTTTTTTTTGTGACTTCTTTCTCAAAGATCAAGTCTCTATTCTCTCAACTTTCTTCTGCCAAAAGAAAATTTCTGTTAAGCTTCAAGTGGAATTAAGTTATTGGTTATCATTTGTTTAACAAAATGAGCAGAGTATCAGTCTTAGTAAGAACTTTATTCTTCTTATTTTACTTCTATATATTCATACTTTTTATTCACATGAAAACTTACAAATAGAGGGCCGGCAAAAGCTGGGAGTGCATGATAGTACTTAACATTTCATTCTGCCCATGATAGCAAGAATGTAAACAAGGGAAGGTATAAAAATACATACGCAGGAAGGCTTGTAAGAAGCTGTGAGGTGATATGATACCTTTTCTTAAACCAAGAGATGAAAGCTTTTGGCCAAACACTGTTTCAGCATTTAAATGGAAACGGCAAAAGAAATACCACTGCAGAATAATTGCTCTGAGTTTACCCTGATGAAGCTAAGTCTTAATCATGTCTTAGTTTAGATAGTAATCTTTTACAGAACTCAGGAGTTAACTACTGGAAAAGTTTGTGCATCTTACATGGCATTGTGGTAAAATAGCTGAAGCAATTAGAGACAGCAGGAGCCTTTCTGTACAACGGCTCCTGTTGTACGCTGCGTAACACTGTACCTATCTTAGTTTGTATCTGAAATTCACTTTGCCACTAATGGTTTATGATAACTGAAGGCTGCTATATCTTAAATTATTACAATGATAATTTTGTGTATTACAATTTTGACTGAGTTATATGTTTGTTCCTCCTTTGTCTAGGAAATTACTGCAATGATCAAAGCGTACTTATAATTTCTAGCCATTCTAGTTTTGATAAACAAATGTTAATGGGTCTTAAAGAAACGGTGCACCTAAAGAGTTGTAAATTTTCTGTTATGTAAGATGTGGTATCTTGGTTTTAATATTTGCAAGTTCTAGTGGGAAAAACCAGCATGTAGTAATTCAGGCACCTGGCCTATCTGCATCTACTACGGGGAAGCTGTTCTAGTAGCAGTCAGCCAAAAGTCTTGTGTGAATAACTTTGTAATAACAGTTTCCGGTCGGGGGGGGAGGGTGTGATTTTGTTTGTTTTTAAATAAAGTAGCTATTTAGCACTTTGAACTCAAGAGAATGCTTCCTACTGAGACATCAATGGGAAACGGACTGTGCTAAGAGAGTATTTGAAAGCTCTTACATTATTAAATAAAGAGCTTGGCTTTTGGCTAAGCCACTAAAATAGGTTTTAAGGGATTTGGGTGCTTTCACTGTTATTATTCCCATTTCCTGTGCAGGGTCCAGTTGTCCAGCCCCCAGCCTGTGGGGTATTTCCCTCTGACTCCTGGGTGATGCTCGGTGCTGTGCAGGACATGATGCCTGCAGAAATGACGCCAGTTAATTCCTGACCGACACCCTTGTGCAGACGCTGCTGACCGAGAGGCCGAGCAGGGGGACAAACCTGCGATGACCCCGCGCTGCCGGCACGTGAAGCCCCGGTGCAGGGGCTCGCCCGCTGCCCGGGCCGAGGCGGCTCTGTCCCAAGCCCTGCGAAGGGGCGTAGCGTGTCCCCCCGCGGCCCGCCCCGGCCCTTGCC